GGTTTAATACTTTTACTATAGTAAAGTACGTTAGATTCTAATGGTTTAAGTATACTTTTATTTAATGCTAAGCGCCTTCGAAATAATACCGCTACTTTTCGAATACGTCGACGATTACTAGTAGTTCCTTATTATATATTTTATAATTCATTTCCGCTAGGGTAAGTCGTTTCGAGAAAAAAGCTACTGGTTTTAATCTTCTTTTATCGTTTTTTTACGAAAGGATAACCGAGATAATAAAGTCCGAGGCGTCGGCTTTAACGATCGGGACTCGATTAGGATCGAAATATATAAGTACCGGGGCCTTTATAAAGGTTTCTTTTAATTCCTAAAAGGCCCTTTTTATTTCGATCTCTTATTTCCATAGTTTACGGTTCCTTTTATTAGCGCTAGTAATTAGTCTAGCTATACCCGAGAAGTTACGTATAAATGTACGGTAGAAGTTAGTAAACCCGATAAAGCTTTACGAGTCTTTAAGTATGGTTAGGATACGCTAGTTAAGGATAGCTTTTATTTTATCTTTGGATATAGTAATACCCTTAGGGCTTATGTTATACCCTAAGAACTTAACTTCTTATATTCGCTAGGTATATTTTTTTAGGGCTATTATTAGATAGCTTTCGGTAAGTCGTTTTAGGACTTCCTTAATTAATTTATTATATTTTTTTAGCGTATCGGCGTAAACGAAGACGTCGTTTAAGTAAGCGATAATTCCTACGTTTAAGAGGTCGCGGAAGATATGGTTTATTATAGCTTAGAAGGTAGCGGGAGCGTTAATTAATCCTATAGGTATAACGGTATATTTATATAACTTATAGCGCGTACGGAAGGCGGTTTTTTATTCGTCGCCTTCCTTAATTCGTACTATATGAAAGCCCGACTTTAGATTAATTTTAATAAACCATTACGCTATTTAGAATAAGTTTTATAGCTCGTTAATTAATAGGATAAGGTATCGGACGGATATGGTAATTTTATTTAATTCCCGATAATCGGCTACCGGTCTTAGCGCGCCGGGGTCCTTTTTATCTACGAATATTATAAAGGCTCCGTATAATACCTTCGATTTCCGGATTCTTTCTATAGCTATTATTTCGTTTAGCTAGGGTTTTAATGCTTCTAGCTATCGTCCGCTTATAGCGTATAAGGGTCCCTAGGGGGGGGTAGTTCCTAGCCGGAGTTTAATCGCGTAGTCCTATGATTACCGGTCGGGGAACCGTTACCTTATTTCTTTAGTTATAATAGGAGCGAAGTCGCGAAATTATTCGGGTACCTATAACAGGGCCTTACTTTCTCGCGTAGTTCCTATACGGGCTAGCCGTTAGCGATAGTTCCGGTACTAAGGTAAGTTAAAGTATAGTCGTTCTTTCGTAAATAACCCTTAGGGAAGGTATTTCTTTATTTATTATTACGGTAGGATAGTATTAACCTCTTTATTTAATTTACTAACTTCCCAAGCGACGTAGTAGATATATTCGTAATTACGGAGCTTTATTTCGTTCGTATATTAAAGTCCTCCTAACGAAATCTTAAAGCCGTCGAATCTTACTAGGGTTCTTAGCTATAAGCGTTAATTAATAAAAAGGCGTAGTTATTCGACTTTAGCGGCGTTAATTAGGGGTACCTTACTATCGGTATTTAGAAGGACTCGTAAGGGATATTCCTTCCCTTAATGTTTTATTTATATTATATGAATAAGTCGTTTACCCGATTTCGGTTCGCTTAAGTTACGCTAGGGGACTCGTAGTTTTTTCGCCGTTAGTATTACTTCCGTTATTTCCGGCGTTCTAAGCCGCTTCGTAGCTATAATCTTTACGTTATTTTTACCGCTCCTTTCTTCCGTTAACGCTTACGGGGGAATATTTAAAAATCCCGTTCCTCGACGGAGTCGGATAGTTCTATAATACGAGGGAAGGTTTCCTTCTATCGTATGGTAGTATCGATTCTAGCTCTTTTATTAAGTAGCGGTTCGGGTTCTTCTTTTTTTCTTTTCCTTAATAAGACCTTCTTAAGTAACGCGGGTAAGTCCCGACCTTTTAAGTCCTTTTTAGCGAAATAAGCTAAGGTTTAGTAATTATTCCTTTTATACCGCTAGTAGGCTTTCTTATCTTTCTTTCGCTAGTCGATTACGGCTTAGTTAATTCCGGTTAAAGCCTTCTTATTACCTATCTATCGTAAGTCTTTAGCCGGTACGGGTTTTTTATTATCCTTACTTTTACGTTCGTTTACCGGTTAGCCTAAGCGGGAGCGAGTCTCTTTTACGGATTACTTTTAATGTTAATCCGCCTTCGTATACTTCTTTTACGAAGCGGATCCTCCTTTTCCTGAAATCCCTAGGTTAATTATTATATTTTTATAGATTTAGCCGGCTTCCTTAATTACTTTAAAAAAGGCTTCATTACTTTCGGGGATACTACTTAATCGTAAGTAAACTAGCTTGGTTATTCTATCGGGTAAGGTACGGATAATATAGTTTTAAAAGGTAGTTTCCGATTATTAAACGACGTCGTTAAGATTTATAAGCTCGGTAAGGTACTAGGAGATATCTCCTTAGTACTTAAGTTCTTATATTTTTTTAGAATTACGATACCGTTTAACGGGATCCTTAAATCGTTTCTAAAGGGCTTAGGAATATCCCGCTTAAGTATCGACGATTATTAACCTTTCTACTTAGGTTAGCCTTTATTAATACTAAAGCTAGGCCTTTTCGATAAATATCGATCTTATTTAATTAATTTTTTAAACGTCCCGAGTAAAGCTTTTTTCGTAGGTTTTAAGGTAGGATTTAATTTTAATTTACTAAAGGCGGAACTTAGTTAGGTCCTTCCTATTATAAGTCGTAGGCTTAATAAGATATACCGGATTAATCGTTACCGTAGTACTTCGTCGGCTATTCATAGCCTTAGTTTAGGCCCGAATTATACGTTCTTCGGCTAGGTCGAGGGGCTCTTAAGGTTTTTTAGGAATACCTAAAGAACGCCGAGGCCTTTACGGATTCCCGTACTCCGAATCGTCCGAGTCGTCTAAGTCCCCTAGGTTCCCTAAAGTATTTCGCGGAGCCTTAGGTAAGGGCGGTAGTCCTAATCCGGCTCCTCTTAATATAAAGGTATCCGTAGTAACGTCTTAGAAACGGGTTCGTACGCGTACGGCGGTACGTTTAACCGCGGTATCCTAAAGTACGCCGTTAGAAATAATCTCCTTTATTTTTACCTCGTTACTAGTATATCTTTTTATAAACGCGGTTATAAGGCGAGTAGTTAATACGGGAGTAGGTATCCGAGCCCTTTAGTTAGCTTTAGTTATAATAGATTCGATATCCGTTAGCTTATTACTTAATCGTCGTTATTAATATTTCTTAATTAGATTAACGGCGTAAGCCTTAAGGTTATCCTTAATTAGCTAAGTCTTTTCTTCTATAGCCCCGGGAGTAAGGTATTCCTTACTAAGGATCTCGTTAATTTATTTATCCTTTTATATGGCTTATAAGTTAACGTCCGTTATTAATTTATTATATTCTTTACGTAATTAAACTAAGGCTCGTTAATTTTAAAGGGCGGCGTTTCGGAGCTAGTTTACGGTAGCGGTTCTCGCTTCGTTTTACTAGGCGAACTTAGCTATTATTTCCCATACGTTTTAAGCGAAGTAGGTGTTTTATTCTATAACCTACTTCTAGAACTCCTGGATCTATATCTTCGTAGTTCTTATGCCGGTAGCCTATATAGCCGTAGCGGTTTAATAGAGCTACCGTAATTATTCGTATTATTTCTTTAGGATCGTATTTTATCGATATCCTATATCGACTTAATTAGCTAGTATCGCTAGGCTTTAATATACTTGTTTCATTTATTTATATAAATCTACGATCTACTACGGAAAATCGCGTAGGATTACCCCCGAGTTCGCGATCTCCGGAGTATTAGTTATAATTACTTCGTATTCTTAGGGTTAATATATTACGAGGGATTTATCGGTCGGTTCGGGGGTTACTTTTAGCTAGGGCGTTAGAAAGACTCGTTATCGTTCGGCGTCTTTTACCTTTAACTTGGTTATTACGGCCTTTAATTTATTAATCGTAGTTATTATCTAGGCCGCCTCCGCTATAGAGATCGACGCTAGCCTAAAGGTAGCTAGCCGCGGAAATAGGAACGCCTATAGCTCCGGACCTTTAATAAAGGGTCGGGATTAATCTAATAATAATAATACCGAGGCGGCGGCTACTACGTACGACGTAGGCTTAAGCGTAGGCTTTTCTTATTACTAGCTTATAGTAAAGTTATAAGGTTAAGAGTAGTATAAAATTATTTATAATAAGAAGATATACTTAAAATAGGTTTAATTTAACTAATAATTCTATAGGGGATCTCTTAGGTCCTTATTCCTTCTTAGGTTTCCTAGTCCCTATCTCGTCTTAATATATCCCAGAGGTACCTCCGTACTTTAGTACCTAGGTATCCTAATACCGAAGCTATCCGTAGCTTATTTAGGACTTTCCTTAGTAGGTCGCCGAGGTAACGGCCTTACTACCCGATATTATCCTCCTAACCTTTATGACCTGATTTGTTGGTATAGGGTTCCATCCCCGTGTGACACGGATTGTTATAAATACGGTGTAATCCAGCATCCATTCGATCGAAATAAGCAGCATGAATCTAAGCCGGACATGGATGATTAGATAGTAAAGTAAAGTAAGGTTAGTTTTGTCGGTTTCATATCCTGGTATTGTCTTGTCACCCGCTCATTTGGGTCTAATATTTCTCATGGGATAAAGAGTTAACTCTTTCCGAATATCACCTGTTTCACTACGGCGCCGATCGCTGACAGGCAGAAAAAAAAAAGCAAGCGATGGCTTCTGAAATGGCCGGTCCTGACAGAGGGGATAACTGCAAATAACATTATACACTTGGCGCAGACACATTAACTTTTACACAAAGATAATTCGATTCGTTGATTTCGTAACTTAATTTGGACATGTCTCATACGTTGACAGCTTCGGGTGGCCGGGACTTGTCATAAGGAAATATTGCACAGGATTGGCTACATTATATATATAGACATAGGAGAGCCTGATCTCATGCTCCCTACTATTTACTTGGCTGTCCTGAAACGTCTTTCCGGTGTAAGAGGGCTTCGGAATTCACGAGTCCATGTCGCGATTTGTGCTACAATATCGTCCTGAGCCTTCTGGATGGCTGGGTTTACCGTATTACTCACTCGGAGGTCATTGCAATGCCGCGAGCCGGCGATCAGGATACTGGGGGCTCCTGGGTTTTCCGAAGTCAGGGGGCCGCCCGGCCTGAAATCGCTCTCTACCGAGGCCGACCGCCAAGGGTCGAACTCTCCGTTAACCCACAGTAGTCGGGAGTTGGCATGTAGTGATTCGGGCAACCGCCAACCCTTTGTATGAGCATTGAGGTCGGCAGCAGTTTTCCCTAGAGCGCTGGCGTAAGTGTATTCGCCCTCGCGGGGGAAGAACAACTCGCATTGGCGCTGGTAATAGTTGGCGTCTACCAGGCGCGAGAATACCGTCGGTCGGTTGAAGGGCGCCCCGCTGAACTATACTGTTAGGACACGAGCAAGTACCCTAGGGGGTTCCAAGGAGTAGATGGGTTTCTCACGTCTGGTAATAGAAAAACGGGTCGTTACACGTCATCCACACCCAAGTGCGCCAGAATGGATTTGCTTCAGATTGATCTGTGAACATTGGGCTGGTAGCGTTGTAGGTGTCGAAGCAGGCAACGCTATTCTCGTCTTTCCACTCGTCATACCCATAAGCAGCGCAATCTAACCCTTTAGTTAGACTCCAGCGGAGAGCGACGGGGTGTATATACACTCACATCCGGGAAGGTAGTTGGCTCGGAACCATTTGGCAAAGTTGGGGAGAGCCTGTTTCAGGCCAACCCCGTCAGGGCTGAAGGCCGATGGGACAGTCGAATTGGGGATAACACCCTCGATGGCATCGCACCTGCGCGACGACTTGCGTAAGTCTTGTCGCCGATATTAATGTCGTGAAACCCCTGCTTACATTTGGTAGAATGCGGAGTACCCTGAGTAGAACTGGATACTCTGCCATGCCCAGATTGGGGACGATATCGCGCTGAAGGAGTGTTCGGTTAGCACAATGGGATTAAATGCTAACCGTGCCCTAGAAATACATACGTAGCCGCGTCGTCTAAGTGCAGGAGATCCTGGACCCCAAACAGCTGTTTCAGGGCTGTCTTCTCTTCGCGAGACCCGTGGGTGAATACTTTGTCGACGTGCTCGACGATGGCGCTGTAGTCACTGGAGCAGTTCTTGGGCATCCCTTGCTGGATGGGGTAGAAATACTGCCAGTAATCGAAGATAGCCTCGACGGGGCCGCTGCTGGAATGGGTCGCCCAGAAGGTCCCGGGCGAAAGACTCTCGATCCAGGCACCGAGCGCACCCGAATAGGAGCCTCCGCTCCAAATCCAAGGCGCTGAAGGAGCGTTTGACGTCCCGTCCTCGTCGAAGGGAAGTTTAACAGTTCGGGCGAAGTGAACAAAGTCGGCAACCGATTGGTCCAGATTCAGGAACTGGAGGTTCTTGGTCGTTTGGACCTCGAAAGGGGTGCTATTTCCCCAGTACCGATGCTCAACCATAACTACGGCGGCGCCGACCTTTCTCGCGATCAAGCCGGTAATAGCCTGGTCGCTGAGATACGACAGGTAGCCCGTGGCTGCGACCTCGCCGGGGGTAAATAACACGACGGGGGATCCCGGCCCTTTCCAGAAAGTGGCATTGTACCAGTACGTCTGGCTGAACGTGCCCGATTCTGGATGATCGTGGTCGATGTACTGCTCGAAATAGGCAATGCCGGTAACGGGGTCGGTGGGATCGGCGAGTGCAGCGAGAACAACCTGGTTTACCTCGTCGGGCGGTGGCAGAGGCACGGGAGGCGTTAAGCCGAGGGCTGCCCGTAGGCAGATGGCGAAAGATAACACACGCTGGACCACGGAACTCCCCATTGCGACTTGGGCGTAAGAGGCAGGGAGCGACGCGACAGCAGATCCCTATCCAACAGACGGGACGGATAGGTTGCGCCTGGGCGGGACTACCATGTTGGGGCGTGGGAAGGGGGACGGGAGATATTTATTTCTTTGCCCGTGCCGTACGGATACGGAAGAGATGGGTGAAGGCAAACATGGGTAGCTTCTGCAGGACCCAGGCCTACAGGGGTGGCATGCGATGTGATAACAGCTGAAAGACATGTTTAAGACAGTGTGGACTGGAGACTTGCCAGCGCCGCAGTTTGGCACCGCCTTATGATAAACCCTACCGACTAGGAAGGACGAAGATACGGATATGCGTTCCGATCCCCACGGGAATAGAAAATAGGGACAGAAGGGCAATGTGAGGACGAGTCGGGGGAGTGGGGGTATGGGGAGGTATTGATCGATAGGGGGAGAAGAGGCGGCGTGAGCTGGAGGAAGCGGGACTTGCCTCTGTCGTGCGGCCTCTGGCGGCGGTTCGACAGACGACGAAACAAGCTTGAACAAGCTTGCCCAGCCCCTCCCGATCTGGAGTGTGCCGACGCGGGGTTAGACCGAATTTAGCAGGTGAAGGGAAGTCGAGAGGTCTGCCTATCGGCGGTATCGAGGGTAGCGATCCTGGCTTCGGATATACAAAACCGGAAGGTCGGTCTAGGCAAGAGAGGGGGTGAATGCCGTGGGTATGTAGGTATGTGCGTAGGTATGTATTCGACGGGCTGGATGGTGTAGAATGCAGGGGTTGAATATGACAAGGGCCATAAGCCAGAAGTGACAAGTTGTTGTTGTTGTTGTTGTTGTTGTTGCTGCTGCTGCTGCTGCTCCTAGTGTTATTCTTGCTTACGTCTTCGTCATAGAGAGACAGACACACATAGAGAGAGAATATCAACATCAATTCCCATAAGGACGATCTTGGTTTATTTTTCCAGAAATCTTTTCCAACTTGGAACCAGAGAAATGATTCTCGCAAAGCTACCTCTGCTCTGGGTATAAGGCTGCTATCAAGGAGGATTGCATACAATTACGTGTACAATTATATTGGATGAATGCCAGGAGGTAAGGTGCGTACCTTGCATCTGCATGTGAGGTACATTCAGGGAGATACCTTAATAGGAGGTACCCTGGCCCTGGCGTCGGCGATGGGTTTTAGGATAGGTACCAAACCTCGGAGGCATCGCGTTTTTTTTTTTCCCGAGACAGATACCTTAGGTAATCAGCGAGAACGGCCCCCCGGTTGTGTGGCTGTGTGGCTGTGCTTCTGGCAAGCCCCGGTATGAGGTTTGGCAATTGCCCAACAACATGCCTAGCTAGCTCTTCGTCTGCTCGTCCACCCACCTCTCACATTCCCTCCACCGACGCGGAGCTATCGACTTCGCCAACTCCAATTACTCTCTCCTGCCGTCCACCAGCAACCTATATGCCAAGATGGGCTCGTCAGAGGCCCTTCCGAGTATGTAACACCCCCGCCCGTCGATTAACCCCCCGACGTCGCTTTTCTTGGCTGTCCTGGTAGCTGCTGACCTGGCGCGACAATCGTCTTCCCCCTCCCCCCTGAGTAGAAGCCACCCGTGAGGAGATGCGGGATGCCAGACTCCCTCTAGCCTACCGGGACAGCTGCGCAAACCTCCTCATCCCCCTCAACAGGTGCCGCGTCGATACGTACTACCTGCCATGGAAGTGCAACGTGCGTCGGGACTCAGTCCTCCCTCTCCGACCCTTCGGCCTCCCACCGACACCCACGCACTCCCCCTGTCGCGCCGGCAAGCTAACCGTCCCTCACCCACCCTTCATAGGATGAACGCCATAGCTACGAGAAGTGCCAGTACGAAGAATTTAAGAAGCGCGTCGCCAGGATGGATGAATTGCGGGAGGCGAAAGGCGGCGCACGAAGCAATTGAGCCACGACATAGGCCTCGACTGCATTTTCGACGGGGAAAAGAAGTTTCCGTTGTACATAGGCCGTATTCGTCGCCTGCGAAGAACTGCGGCGTTGAGCCACGAAATACCGTCTCAAACCTTAATCTGCCTGGGGCCCTAATGCTGACCGTTGCCTAGCTGTGACCTGTGATATCGTCCTTCGTCTGCGAGTGTTGGTCAAATACGCCTCTACTTAGCCCTAAGCTGCTTGTCGCCTCGGTCGTACAGTCATAAGAGTATTGGTTATTGGCACTTGGAATCGTGATAGCATCATACTCATGGGTCTCTACATGAGGTTCCGCACATACCTGTTCTAGTCAACGATGGCATTATCTGGCCAAGTTACTATGTATGGCCTAGTGTGATAGATTAGCGTTATGGGCCCTGCTTTGCTCATGCCGGAGACAACACACTGCATCTTGCTCATGAAACGTACCATGTATGCCAGCACCGGAAATCTTGTCTAGAAACTTCAATTCACACTACCGCTAACAAAGCCGACACCTCGGCATGTTAGTTGTTTATTAAGATATATGCTGAAAAAAGTGGAATCTCCCTGCCCATTGCCCCTTGTCCCAATGCTATATTGGCCATACCTCGCCCCCTGTTAGACATGCAGTTCCTCTGCAAGGGCTGGGCTAGAACCGCGAGGTGGACTTCTTCCGAGGCTTGACCTGCCTGAGATTCGACGTCGGGATGGGTTGGGACGAAGACAAGTATCGCTCCTTTTTCGTCTCAGATCTTATAGGTGCTGTCGAACTCAGCCGGTTGCTAGGGTCGTCGCCCATATTCTTCTTAGGAACCCATCCGCCATCTCTGGATGGGGTACCTGGCCGAGGTGAGTATGTCTGGTCTACCTCATCGTCCGCATAATCCTCGGCGTAAACTGATTCTACATCCGAAGATAGTTCTATCACTTGGGTTCCGGGGGGGAGTGTGAATTGAGATGACCGTCTGGGTGATTTCCGTTTTCCAGTCCGGTCGATGCCCAAGGTTTGAATCGGCTGTGAGGAAGGCGGGGACGTTTTGATGATGATGTTAAGAGGATCCTCTTGGGTTGTCGGCTCAACGCTATTAGAAATTCTCAATGAGCTTTCTCGATTTTTCGGCAACTCGTCCAGCTCCCGCACCGATCTGCTGTACTCCAAGTCTCCTTGGGCCTCGGAGTTTTGCGTTATCCGCAAGGACGGGGAGAGGGGTCCGGATTGGCTCTGCGCGCTATGAGAAGTAGGCTCCGTGCACCATGCGACATCGAGCGATGAAAGGGCGCCAGAAACTGAAGGATTTCCCTTCAAAGTGCTCCCAATATCTGCCTCCACTTCCTCGTGATCAATGCTTGGATACACTTGAAATTTGGACTTGGGCGTTGGGGTTGACATAGCGTCTTCGTACTCCCCATTGTACGGCTCATCGTGGCCAGCACATGCGCCGTCGTCAGTGGTTTTGTACGAGTCCGGCTCTACCGAGCCGTCGTCAAGCGCGTAGTCTGGCTGCCTCCCACTACGGGGGCTGCTAACAGACGAAGCAGCGGTAAATTTGGGTTTGACGACCTGTGGTGTGCCAGCGACGACATCATCTTCGTTACTCCCGAACAGGGGGCCTGATGACTGACCGGCACTAGGGTAGCCTGAGTTAGCGGGGTCAGGGTCAAGATCGTTGTAGTCGGGGACTCCTCGGACAGATACACCGATAGCTTGGCTTGTGCTCTCGTGGAGCTGCCGGGAGGGGCTGCTGATCCGTGATAAATCGGATATCATTATGTCATGAGCTTGCCCGCCCTGTCCGGATTGATACGCGCCGAACCCGGTTGATGAGTGGCTGGTCGCCGTATCCTGGCCAAACTCCTTCGTTGGCTCGCCGACTAGCCTAGCAGGTGCTGAGTCGGCGTGTGTATGTGAATCTACTCCGGCAGCTGTGTGCCGCTCGTCCTCAGCCGGCACAAGCTGCTGCCCGCCCTTCCGAGCTTTCCCGTCCCGGCTGACATCGTCCTTGAGCTCTTCACCACGTAGAGTGGATAATGGTTGTTGTAGAATTCTGGGTTGTTGTATCTCGGCAAAGCTGATAGTCCGGTATCCTTCGTCTTCGCCATCGTCATCGTCATCATCAAGGTCCGGTCCTTCGAATCTGTCATAGATTCTTTGACCTGTATTCTGGTCGTACCGCTTCTCGTTTCGATCGAGACGGCGATCCCTTTTGGCAATGCAGACTTCCAAGCTGGTAGCGTCATCGTCAATTCTAACTATGACGCCGGTAACATCAGATAGTTGTGGTTGCCAATTCGTGGCCGAAGAACATGACCACTGCTGCCATGTGATGACCATTCCTACTTGAGCTTTTCCTGGGCGGAGAATGGGGAGAGACGATAAGTTGGAAGGCAAGGACGGGAGATCATCCATGTCTGTATCCTGGCTTGCGTTATTGGTCTGCTCCTCTATCCCCTCCTGCTGACTGTCCTGGTGCTCATCGTCGTAATTAAGTTCAACATCGGCGTCACGAACAGTATCATCGAAACCATTGAACGTAGCATCGTAGCCTTGCTCGTCCCGCGACACGAATTCTTCATATTTGCGTTTTTGGCCAGAATTGGTTCCATGGTAGAAATGAGCCTGATTGCGTTGCGCTCGCTTGCCTTGACCACCGCGTTTGTTCTTCTGAAACCAGGAACCTTGTTGCTGGGGATCCCAACGCTGGACAAAGGGAAAGGGCGGTTCGCCGAGCTCGATCCCTTCATGACAGCATTCAACCGCTCGGTAGATGATCCTTTCTTTCCAAATATAATCCAGGCTGTCGTCTGCAGGTCCACGATTCCTTTGATCTCCTCGGACCGTATTATTCTCTTCTTCAGATCTTTGATTCTGTAGCGGTCGAATACCGGCCGTCAGCTTCGCCCGCAACTCTATTTCATCGTCATGCGTTTTCGGATTGCGGAGACCGAGTGCACCGAAAAGCAGTCTCCGGCCGGTACTTACATCCAAGCAAGGTCGCTTAGAGGAGGGACCTGCGGACTGAACGTCGTCCTTAATGTGCGTTTCGTGGGGTGGAGAACACGCTTGTCTGGTGAGCTGATCGGAGGCATTAGGTCTGGCGCGTTTTCGTTTTCCGGATGTGGACGCCCCCGAAAAATCATTACATTGTGTAGGTTGGCTCGGCGAGTCAACCTCAATCCCGCCGTTAGAAATTGCCGCCAGTAGCTCCCTTCGCTTGGCTTCGAAAAGAGCCTTCACGCCCGAGGCGGGGGTCAGGGACTGGGAATCTGGGCCGGCAGGCGAGGCGTCGAGAGCATTATTTTGCTGCGCCAGCTTCTTGGCTGCCTTTGCAGCCTTGCGCCGGGCGTTCCGCTTCTTTGTACTCTCCTTACCTGCCCCAGGTGGTGCTGGCCCCATCGGCAGGGGCCCAACTGGTGAATTTCGAAGGGGCTGCGTCTGTGTTGTGCACTTGGCTGATGACTCTGGAACAACGTACGGCTTCGTCGGCACCGCGCAGGCGCTAGTATGTTCTGTATTGGACTGACTTTCGAGTGTTAATCGTGTGTCGACTGAGGTGTGTTTCTTATTTTCAGAGTCGTCCTTAGAAGTTGGCATTCCCCTACCAATGGGGTTTTCGTCGTGGTTGATGGTACTCTGCTTACCAACTTTCGCAGCACTCTTAGGCTTAGGCTGCGTGGTCATTTCCTCAGGGACATCTTTGCTATTGTCGCTGCTATCGTCATCGGTTTGGCTTTCCGAACTGCTTGAGGGAGAACTGGTCAATCCTTGCGGAAGATCGCCTTCAACGCCACCACTACTGTCGCTATCACTATCAATGTTGTCGTTGTTATCGTCGCCGCTGTCATCACTGCTATGTGAAGATGCTTCCTCGTTAGGTTCACCCTCGCTCTCCGCCTCGGAACTCTCATCGGAGCTCTCGTCCTCCAATGTAGAACCGACAGCACTACTTGAAGTGTCGTCATCGTCACCGACAGTGATCCCAAGGTTGGTCTTGTCGCCATCCACTGTGTTAGACGTACCCTTACTCTCACCAGTCTTCTTACTAGTGAAAGCACCAGAGATAGCAGCCATCTGAGCGAGCCCTTCACCTGATGTAATGGAGCCGGGAGGAAGTCCGCGATAGTCGTATTGTTGCACTAGGGCCGATACAGGTTCTTCACTATCCTCGCCAGATCGGCTTTCATGTGTCTGTTCGTCACGGTTAATTTGACCTACGAGCGCCAGGGACGGAGTTTTGGCTGAGGGACTTTTCGCATCTGGAGCGTCGTTCCTAGATGACTGCCATATTGACAATGCGGATTGTGGCAGCTTTGGCGGGAATGCATCGATTAGGGAGCCGTAGGCCTCTCTAAGGTCATTCCCAGATCGGGCTAACACTTTCTGGCAGATGCCTATCGGTGCTGACGGGAATGCAGCCTGCAGTGCTGATATTTTGTTGCTTGGGGCGTCGACACGAGAAGATGTTATTTGCGATGTCCCCTCCTGTTCTTCCGATACCGTATTATCTGTTGCTAGCTGCCGGAGCTCGGCCGCAAGATCCTCTTCCTCGTCGTTTGATGAGGTCGAATTCCGTCGATCGTAGCTATCAGATTCGTAATGCTCGTCGGAGTCGTCATCCTCTTCTTCGGCCTCGAAGTCACTATCTTCCAGATTACCACCACCAGCATCCGAAGCGGCTGATAGATCTGCAGGCAGGTCGCCGTTTGTAAGGAAAAGCGTGGTGGGATCGTTGTCGTCGTCATCGCAACCGTCATTAGTATATCCTTGAGCATACGCGAGCCTGGGGCGTTTAACGGTAGGAACGTCAAGGGGCGGTCGGCCGGCGGGTGGCCTGAGGAGGCGGCGGCCGAAAGGAATACCGTCGATGAGCCTTCTGCCGTCGGTGGAGATCTGATGCCGACCACTCAGTCGTCTTTGCCTGTTGTCGTCTTTTTCGAGGGCTCGAATGCTACCAAATGTTAGCCACTAGTTGACTCAAAAGGTCGGAATCTTCAGGAAAGACATACAAGACTCGATCATCAGGTCTGAGGATGGTCCGCACCGACTGAAAGTGCAGACACTCAAAACTAGTACCATCATTATCCCGTAGCTCAACCGCGTAATCTTCTAACCCCCTCTGGCCGATTTCTAAGGGTATGGTTTCGTTCACTTTCTCGAGCAGCTTTGAGATGGTCGGGTCATTCTCGAGTGGCACATGCCACAAGAACCGATTCTCTGGCAGGCCATCTCTACGCACCACGAGACGCAACCGCATGTCCGTCTCCGACATGTTCGTATATGTGTTATGGAAATCCAGAGCAGAAACTAGGGCAATGGTAGAACCCAAATAGAGGGTAAAAACCCAAACCTCTGATAAAAAGGGTCAAACTGCAATTGCAGTTTGACCTGGTATGGAATCAGTGAGGTATCATTCCAGGGCGGACATGAGGCTGTGAGATGATGCCCTCAGGAAACGCGCCTCGAGAGTTTGCACGAGACAGCGCGGCACAGTCATGGAGCCTTCCTATCTTCCACATATGCAATATGCCTGTAACGGTCATAGACGTAAAACCTACCTAGGTAAGTACCTATGTATTGTTCATGTCCCTGCACGGGCATTACGCCAACCTCCAGTGCTTAGCTTAGGTACTTACACATACCCGCCTATGTGTTGAGCCACGTACATGTACTTATACATACTATATTAGGTAGATCCGCCCGGTAACCCCGTGGTTAATTATTGATAGGTATCAAGTGGGAACTTTATGTACCTAGGGTATTTAGGTCGGTAATATTTTTTTTTTCAATCCCCGAAATTCAGTGAAACCCCCGGATCTCTTACTTGAGCGCCTTTATAACCTACCTACCTGCCTGCCTGCTTACCTACTTGCCCACCTACCGAACTAAGAGTATAGAAAGCAACCCCCCTTAAATTACTGTACATTACTTCGGTGACCACTGTCACTCCTTACCATATCAGTTCTGAAACCGAGCTTAGTATTTCATAAGTGCCCACTTTGAAAGTATTGTGGTACTTACCCTAACTCTACTCATACGGGTAAACCCCTCAGTCGCTAGAAATTAGGAAGTGATGACCATGTCGAACCCTCCCTGCTTAACGACGAAGACAAGTACCTTTTAAATGTGTGTATGAGGTCGATATCACTACCTCAGGCACGTATATTTGCCTCCATTGTAACATGTGGTGGATCAAGCGTCGAAGGGCATGATTTACGAGCTTCTAGGTGTTGGGGTGTCGCCAAACAGGACGCTGAAGAACAGCTTTCGTGCGCACTTATATATGTACTTCATTTGTCCCCTTTCGCTTCCTAGTGGTGATGAGGGCGGAGCGGAAGAGGGTGGCTTAAGTAGGAAAAGGTGTATACCATCGGGAGAGAATAGAGGAAGGCGACAATATGTGTGCTGCGCAGTACTACATTTTATTATACAACCATTCGCATACAATTGCGAAAGAATAGGAATCATGATCTATCTGTGTAGGTCTACTCTTGAACGTGTGGTAGTCGAAGGTGACCTCTCGTCTAATGACCAGTCTTTCTACACGTTAACATATTCTTAAATCAAGACGGGTTGTTGTCTATATGCCAGCTCTGCGCGGCCCCGTCTTTGGTATCTGACATTGACGACGTTGTTCTGCGATGATGGAGCACACATTCCACCAATTGTGTTCTACATGTACATGGGTCTCATGGTGGAAGAGTTCCAATGTCTAACAAGTGACCCATCTTCTCAATCTATAAGATATTAGCGATGTAGGGACGCTGTCTACGTTGTGGAGCGCATCGTAAGGCAAGGCATGGTTGGGTAGGACTAGACTCACCTTAGTCTTCAGGTATCCCTCCACTTCTCGACTCCGGAAACCTCCTTTGCCCTTCCAACTTAATGGTACCATTGCGACGCGTTCCGTAACTCTCACCTCTCTATTTGGCCCTTCCACAGCCCTTATCTTGTCCGGATTGTTTGTCAGCAAGCGAATTTCCTTGTGTCCCAAGTCAAGTAGCATGGCTGTCGCAAGCCCATAGCTTCGCGCGTCGGCGGGGTGTCGCAACAGTAAATTCGCTTCGACGGTGTCGGACCCTAGGTCTTGTAGATTGTATGCTTTCAGCTTTTCACCGAGACCGATGCCTCGCCCCTCTTGCCGGAGGTAGATGACAATGCCTCCATTCACGGCGCTGGGAAGCGACATCAGTCGAGCCGCCTCGTCGAGCTGTTCGCCGCAGTCGCACCGCGCGGACCATGCCGTCTCGCCCGTGTAGCACTCCGAATGTATGCGGACAAGGGGAGGGCCGCCGCCTTGAGAATTGACATTTTCGGACTCACCGGCCGACGGCGAGCCGCTATGCGCCATGCCACTCTTCGTCCGCCCGGGATATAAGCGGCCTGTATATGCCCCCCTGACCATTCGATCCATCTCTGTCTCGCCCTCCCTCGGCGCGTCGAGCGACTTACTCCGAATATGTGAGCCGAAAACGATGGCGAGATGTTCTTTGTTATCGACATTGTTCGTATATAGATGTAAGAACATCTCCGTCCCCGAGACCGTTGGAATACGAGCGCGAACAATGCATTGGACTTCCGGCAACGCTTGGAGTAGTTTCGGTCGTCTAGTTCCGCATCCCCCCGACGGAACAGAGGAATCGACGGGAACCCCACGAGCTTGCTCGGCTATAGGAGTCACTGTGCCGGGGGTGGCAGGAGGGGTGAAAGCAGGCGAGAGCAGCGACGGTGGCGGCGGCGCTGACGATTGGTCTGCATCGTCAACAGTGGTAGAAGCATGATTCCCTGGACGGGTGAGTGAGGAAAGAGCCAATTCGTCACGACTTAGCGCGGTGACGATGTTGTCCTCGTCATCTTCCTTGATGGGCCGGGACCGCGGGGAGTAGAAGGACGGAAGGTCTGTAGCTTCCGCGTGCTTCTGCCAATCTGAAGTCCTTCGAGACCTCCCTGGTGACGATGATTTGGCGTCTGGCATCCCTCAATATAGCAAGAGGAGACTGGAACTTATGACAATGTCTGTTATAATCAAGGCTAAGTAGGAGGAAGAGAAACCGGGAATCACTGACGTCGGATCGATTACGGTTGGTGGGGTGCCGTTTCAAGGAGACGGGGCATGCTCGGGTTTGGTGGAGGGAGGGAATGATCACTTAATAAATACGCATTGTAGGCATTGTTCCACTGGATAAGTCTCACGGCAGTGAGGCTCCACATTCGTAAGCCTGGTGAGAAAAAAGTACAGGTACCTACCTAGGTATGAGTAGAGGTTGCCTGTAGGTACCTTGGTAGGTCCGTTCTTTTTGCCTTGAGACCCCCTTCACTGCACTAGGTACCTGTATCCATTTAAAATTGCTGATATCAGATGTAGAGGTATGTTAGGTTAGGCACATGGGTGCGGTATCCTAGGTACCTCCTAGCTGCTAAGATAGCCCCTAAACGTTGTTGAATTTCTTCACCTATCTACCCCCTCTATAAGGATACATAACAATTCAGGCTCCATGCTAGCCATTGTACCGGGGCTTGCATAACAACAGTGTCTCCCTGTTCTGCTCTTGTCACTTCTAGTAAGTATCCAGGGACGTACCCAGGTACCTATAGCGGGTAACGGGTACCTGGTAACGGATCATCTCCTAGTGCTACCTAACTCCTACCTAGGTAGGTACCTGTGCATAGAGGTGGTGCTCCCTTATATAGGTACCTCCTAGGGAGTACCAAGCACTCCTAATAACAAGTAGGGAATTCAGGAGGGAAAAAGTAGGTTCCCTCCATCATTTCGAAGGATAACAGCGTCTTGCTGCCCGCCCGGCTCACATCCTTGGGGGTTTCGGCGATGTCACTTTAGTTTCATTACAAGGGTCTCGTGATGAGGGCTCTGTAATTTGTGTCGCTTCGTGCTTGCCCGAGGGTGCCGCAGCCTAAGGCGAGTGGAATCTTCTAGGCGTCCGTCGATATGATAATCGAAACCGTCTTCACCGCTCTCCGGGTGTCTTATGATTACTTACTATCCAGAGCCCAAGAGGTGAAGGAGAGGTGAAGGCGATCAATTTCCACTAGAAGAATAATAGGGGACAATGCACGTAGTATAGAGAACCGCATGCAATGGATGTAAACTCATGTAGGTACTCTACTTATACCCTGATATTTAAGCCATGTGACTCCATCTCTTACTGAACATATTTAGTGCTATCTAGCAGCTTACCCTACAGCTCCGTGTTTATTACATAACTTGAAAACTCGGTCTCCCCCCTTAAAGTCTTTTGGCAAGTATTATATTTCCTCTGCCTGCATTTTCCAAGGTCCTTCGTCGTCTGCCTATATTCAACGTTATTTAAGGCTTTGACTCCCCGGGTCGCCCCGTATAGTATGTCACATAACTGTTTGTGTGTGTGGCATTGACTGTTCCACCACTCTTATACGTGCGCGTCACATTCTCGCCTCCGTCCGATACTGCCAGACCAGCGAGAACGCGTCTAAAGAGCTCCAAGGCCGCCTTTGGTTGGTAGTAAGGTACCTCATGGCCAGCATCGTACACCCGTGTGAAGCTGAAGTTGCCATATTGCCGACTCTCACCATACTCAGTGCCGTCAACTATAAATGGTGCGTATCCTGCGCTAGCAAACTCCGCTTTACCAGTGTAATTCACTGCCAGAGACACTGCCTCACCGCCCATCCAGTTGCAGATATAATCCTGTTCCGTTACAATTAGCAACTCGCCCTTTTACGTTGTTATATAGTATGAGTTACGCGTGTAGCATTTGGGGATAGCAGGGCAGGGATGGAACGCGACTTACAGCATCTCCGTATATCATAGCAATACGAACTCCATAGTCGAGGATGGTTTCGAGGTCGTCTAGCAAGTTTGGGTAAACAAAATCGCCGGTATAGTCGAAGCCAATCCCGACCTGAGAGCTACTCGTAGAGGTGTAATTAATGTCAACCCCAATCGCATTCTGCACTCTCGCGGTATTTAGATACTCAACCCAGTAGCTCGGGGGGATACTGGCGTTGCTTTTGGCTCGGATATCATACGGATTCCGTCCGCTTACTACGCTGTGTAGAGTTAGTATTCCCAGAGAACAATCGTACGTCAAGCTGCTTGGAGTGCTGAGCATAGAAGCTATAAAGAGGCTGGCTCTAGATAACCATAGAGTGTAACGTGAAAGACATAAACAGTCGAGTATCTTATTTTAAACCACGGCAGACAAGAGGGGAATTAGGCCTGCAGAAACCCTTTAAACTTACTAGTAAGGCCCTTCGACTAGCGATCTACAGATGGCGGTGGCTTGAGAGCAGATGGCCTTTCCGTCTGGGGTCGAACGGTCTTGCTCGTAACAAAGGTCGATCGAGTCTCGGCAGCCGCCGGGAAAGTAGTAGTTTAGCTTCATATAGTTGTATATGGTCTCGTTAACTGCCTCGATACCATAAGTGTTGCGATACGCAAGCTCCGGATAATATGGAGCCTGGATGCGTTCTGATACTATACCATTTATTATGCCGAGAGAATGCATATTAAGCTCGATGCCAGCGATGCTACCATTACGGATGAGGGAATTCTGGTCATAGAAATATCGGAAGAAGGCAGGGCCGTAATGCCCTCCGTAGCTCTCCGTCCAGAGGTTGAAGCTGCGCGACTTGACAGTTGGATCGAGGCAAGGTAGATTCTCAATGAAGCCTTGTAGGATCTCCCAGGTTCCTACAGCGGCTAGGTTGGTAGTGTCAAACCGGTACGGGTCGACATCGCTGTATCGCCCATCAGGCTGAGGATCTGGGATGGGAAGCTGGGTAGTGTCATTGATAACACCAACCACGGATTCCGCATATGAAAAGCCGACGCCGATGGGTTGAGAGAGGAACAGAAGATTGCTGACTTCGTTCCACGCATAGGGATTCACCAAAGAAGTGCGGTTACGAGTAACATTGCAAGGGCCAAGTTCTAATTCTTTTAGCTTCTCGTCATATGAACCAAACGTTGTAACTTCCAACCTACCTTCGAATAGCCCAATTAGTGAATCTGAACCTGGGCCTCCATTAAGCCACAGGGTGAGGGGAGCCTCGTCGGGATTATGCCTCGCCTCGAAAAACCAGAAGAACATGTGTGTATTTTCGTCCAGATCCACATAACCTGAGTATGAATTGACACCCGGCGTCGTCTCACAAACTCCTTCGGTTTCGGGCTCCTTATACCGAATTGTAATGCCTCTTGGAGAATGAATGGTTCTTACTCCGGTTGGTTCAGCCGGGACCTGTTTCTTGAGTAGCTTGTCCGCTGGCCTCGGTGTCGAACCTGTGAAGCCACAAGAAGAATAAATAGAGAGTACGAGCATGGCTGCTACAAGAGTGCTCCGCACGAGGTTAGGCATGGTGGTGACTCTGAGAAAGGTCTAGGTTTCGTCGAATGTTTCTCAGGAGGAAGACAGCGAAGGTGGGATGTGCGAAACCAGGCGTTTCTTCGTTCTGTCTCGTTCTGTCTCGTTCTGTTGATGTTATAATATTCGCTCACCCTATTCCAACCCGTCACAGATCTGGATGGGTTGTAGAGGCTTCATGGAATGTGCTAATAGGAAAGAACCTTGGAAAATACAGCCGATTACGTTGTGGGCGCGCTTTATTTGCCCCTCACTACCCCCCTTCCTATGTGGCGTTGCAGTATGCTCCATGCCGTTTCTTACTGAAAGGGAGTTGGAGAACGATGATCTTATCTGACGACTGACGAGTGTCATGCTCGAGTGCCTTCTACTACCTCTTCCTTTGCCTTAAATCCGATGCAGGGATACTGCAGAGACAGACGAAGCGATTATGTCAACTTTGGCCGAAAATAATTACACCGCTTACCTTCCCGCTAATAAATCTACGATTTTACGTGTCAGCTGCGTCGTCAGTTTTCTTGACGGCGCGCGAGGGTCGCGAAGCTCATGGGTCGATTTCCTAGTTATCATTCTCAGCGTGTGCTGTCCTCTTTTCTCTAGCGCGGAGAGAGTCTCGCGAGAGACCTCTTGTAGTTTTGAAAATAGCCATCGGGGATGAACAGGTTGAGGAAATTGATACTTGGACGGAGGGGAAAACGGGTTCAGATGTATTCGACAAGTGGTAAGCTACCTATAAATAGGAGGCGCTTGAATAGAACTGATGTAGACCTTAAAACGGCAAATCGCTCCTGTGTGGGGCAATATTCTGATCGTGAGATACCGGCATCGAAGCAGGGATTCGCAATAACACCTCCATCCACCCGTTAGACGAATATTTCCATATAACATCTCCCTCCTCAAGGACGGCCATACCCAATTTTGATCTTTATCAATGGTCTATTCCCGGTTCCCTCCACCAGCGGAAATGATGGTACACCACGTGCGGTCCAACCTTCTCAAGCTGTTCCCTCCACCTAGGGGTGACATCGCCATGCACCTGGATAAGACGCAGCTGCTTCAGGGATGCCAATGCCTGGAAGAATTCGTCTTCCTTCTTCGTGTTTACCCGACCTGTCCAGCCTGCGGAGGTGACGGGCCTAGGTTCCCAGTCTATAACCAAGACTTCTAGCTTAGTAGCGATCAGGGTAAGCTTTCCGAAAAAGGGCAACCAGCGATTCCAATTGGGACGCTCCATGGCGACTAGGAACCAGAGCTTCTCTAGCCGGTCCAGGCGAAGGGTTCCGTGGACGGCGAATCCGATCCGTCTCTCATTCCACCCATGCATAATGACTCTGATAGCGGCCTGCCTGTGAACCATGGAGTGCAGTTCTCGGTACAAACGCTTACATGAGAGCATTAAAGTAGGTAGGGGGCGTTGGTAAGGGGGACCGTCTAGATAGATCAATTGCGGGCGTAACGTGTCCCCGAAATCGGTGTAATCAGGGGCGAGATAAAACTCATAGATGCGATCACGCACCTCGCGCGGAAGGGAGAAAAAAGAAGCTTCAGTCTGCATGTTGGCCAGTAAGGATGGCACTTATACTTTGGAGGTCAGCTGTATTGAATAATACGATGGCCATCTAAGGAAAGGGTGAACAGTTAATGGAATTCCAGCTATTTACGTAGCCTTTTGCAAGCCGTTTTTCGTGCCTTTTATCTCCCGATTAACTACTACTAAGGTAGGGCTTATTCTATAGCTATACGTAACCGATTACGTACTTACTGTAATGGGCTATGCCCATAGTAGGGCCCTGGCTAGTGCCAGGGCTTAGTACGTAACCAATACCCACGGAGGATAAGGCCAGCTATTATAGGTACGGCCCATACGGCGTACCTTTTCTTCCTTTTTTTCCTCGTCTAGCTTTAGTTTATTAATATACGGCTTTTACCTAGCGAATAGCTCTTAAAACCGTAACAAAAAGCTAGACCAACCTTCTTTTATCGTTTTACGGAAGTAGCAGCATCTTAGCGAGCGGAATTAGCAATAGGAACGGCGATATAGCACCAAAGAAAGCGGTAGCTAGCAAAGTTAGCAGTCGGAAAGGCGGTATTAGCTTTTGGACATACGTACCGGCGGCTCCTACGAAGAGGACCGACGAGATAGTATCTTAACACGCGGGATCAGCAGTAGGAAAAGCGATACTAGCGTTTACGCCGGCTAAGTTAGCAGTTGGAAAGGCGGTATTAGTCTTAGATATACGCGCCGGTAGCTACCACGAACGAGGACCGATATAAAATAACCGAAGAAAACGACTAATAAACCCCGAGAAAACGCAATTCAGACGGTAATTTCGAGATAAATAAACGACGAAATCGACGAAATTTACGGCTAAAAACGGCGGAAAATTTTTTTCCGGAGAAAGATAATAAAGCGTTAGAGCATAGCGCTCGTCGACGAATTAAGAACGCCCGAGGCGTAATACAAGGAAGGAACGGCGTTAGAATAGCAGGAAATACATCAAGGTTTCGGCTAGAATAACAGCACTTCGATAAAAGCGCTAGCGGCGTTAGCAGTAGACGGAAGGGCGCGCCCTAGTACGCCCTTAGGCGGAGCCCTTAGCTCCGCTAGCGGACGATAAACGATAGTCTTTAAACGAATCGGACGGCGTATCCTAATACGTCTTCTAGCGGAAAATAAACGATAGTCTTTAAACGAATCGGACGGCGTATCCTAATACGTCTTCTAGCGGAAGATAAACGATAGTCTTTAAACGAGTAGGGATAGCGTACCTTAGTACGCCTTCCGGCGGAGCCTCGCGGCTCCGCTAGTAATACGGATAAGCCCCTAGCCTTTAAACGGAAGGATAGGCCCCTAGCCTTTAAACGATAGTAGACGGGAAAGCGCGCCTTAGTACGCTTTTAGGCGGAGCCCTTAGCTCCGCTAGCGGAAGATAAACGAGGGTCTTTAAACGGCGATAAACGAACCGACGATCCCGTAGCTACGGAAGCTAGGCTAGACCTAACAAGCGCCTATGCGCGACTTCGTACGCGGGGCTTTAGAGCTTTACGGTTTAATAGGAGGATCGGGACTAGCCCCGGGGAATAATAGCACCCCGGGGAACGAAAATAGCAGCCCGGGAAGCGGATAACGCAACCCGGGAAACGGCGAAGGAGGAGGGGCTCTCGGAGGGAAGTAGCTACCGGGAAAGCGTACCCGGTAAGCGAAGAAACCCCGGAGACTTACGGAAGAAATCCCGGGGAAGAGTAGGACCCGGGGGAAGAGCGCCGGAGGGCTAAAGGCGCCCGGTATAGTACCCCGGGAAACGAAAGGCCCCGGGAAGGAAACGGCGGAGGAGGAGGCCCAGGAGTATACCAGTACCCTAGGAGGCGGAAGCAGTAACCCGGGGAGCGATTAGCGTACCCCGGGGGACGGAAGCAGTACCTAAGGATACGGCACGCATCCTAAGGCGCGCGGAGGAAAACGGGTTAGGTTATTAGGGCTAAACGCCGAAGAAAAGGACGGTAGGGCGCACTTTTTTTTTTTTTTTTCCGGGAGGGGACCTTATATAATAGGCTATGCCTATAATAGGGCCCTGGCTAGTGCCAGGGCTTAGTACGTAACCAGCACCCACGGAGGATAAGGCCAACTATTACAGGTGCGGCCTATACGGCGTACCTTTTCTTCCTTTTTCTCCTCGTCTAGCTTTAGTTCATCAATATACGGCTTTTACCCAGCGAACAGCTCTTAAAACCGTGACACTTACGCGTCTATACGCTTTCTTAACTTAGGTAAGGCTATTACTAGTACTTTAAACGGCGTAAGCTCCTAATTTCGTAATATTTTCCTTCTTTATTATTCTATTTACTTATTTATTTCGTTTAAGGAGTAAGGCAATTATAGGTACTTTAGATATAGTAACTTTTTAAATCTCTAATATTCCTTTACCTTTAAAGGCTTCGTAAGCTTATTAGCTACGTTTTCAGTTAATAGTACGTATTTTAACTTGACGTATTCTTCTTTTATCTTTTACTTTACGTAATAACAATCCTTTTAAATATACCGCTTTTACTTATTTATTACTATTTTTTTTACTTACGTATTCGCCATCGTATTATTATATCGTAGGATAATTGGTCCTATAGGTATTACGCTTAATTCTGTAAGGAAATTACGTATCTACGTGGTATTTACTACTGCGTCGATAAAGCTACTGAGAAGGAGTAGAGCGTACATGATGCTAGAGTCCCGGATAGCTTACTCCAAAGTATACGCTATCGGTAACTACAATACGTACAATAATCTAGGATAAATAAAACTAATATTATATATAAACTATATAGGACTTCCTCTCTATTAGCTAAATTACTTCTTTAAACCACCTACTTATTTCTTCTTTTTAAATGGTAGAAACGCTGTTATATTTTACGATATATCTATAGTGAGAAGGAGCAGAGCGTACGCGATACTGGAGTCCCAAAGAGCTTATTCGAAAGTATACTCTATCGATACCTATAATACGTATAGTGGTTTATCATAAATAAAACTAATATTAATTTATTAATCGCGAAACGAGAAATCTAATATAGTTGTCGTATCTTAGGTATATTTATTAGTTATAGAGATAAAATAATCACTAGGCTAAAGGCAAAGAAGATAAGAAAAGAAAAACATATATATATAAAAGTTACTTCTTCAGCTATTACAGTATAATAAAGTAACTTAATTACTCGTAATTAAAATAAATATATTAATTAGTAAACGACGAATCTAATAATAAAAACGAATCATTAATTAAAATAAAAATAGAGAAGTAAATAATTTAATGAGGTAATAATTATAATATAGTTATTACTTATAAAAGCTATAGTTATTCTATATATTAATAAGGGTTATCGTAGCGTATTACTATAGTAGTGCGGTAAGACATGCCCTCTTAATGCATTACGTAATGTAGTGGTGCGGTAAGATATGCCGCCCTCTTAATATATTACGTAACACGCTACGATAGGCCTTATACTTATATAGAGTAACCATAGCTCCCGTAAGTGCGGGATATACTATGCTTATTATCTAGTTTATTACCTAGTTAGATTATTATTTTTACTATTTTTACCTTAATTAAAGATTCGTTTTTGCTATTAGATTCGTCGTTCTCCGATTAGTATATTTATTTTAGTTATAGGCGCTTAAGTTACTTCGTCGTACCGCTATAACCGAATAAGTAACTTTTACGTTTTATTCCTTTTCTTCCCTTACCTCTTATACCTTCGGGCTAGCGACTATTATATCTTTACGACTAATGGGCATAGCTAAGATACGATAACTATATTAGATTCTTTACCTTTCGATTAATATAGCGATATTAGTTTTATTCGTCTTAGACTATCGTACGTACTATAGTCTTCGATAGAGTATACTTTCGAGTAAATATATCTAGGTTTTTAATATCGCATACGCTTTACTCCTTCTTAGTAGCGACTACTTTATAACTTTTTCGACCCCTTAACCTTTAGTTTACGGAGTTTTTATTACGTTACTAGGATTTAAAGGATACCGATCGCCGTCGGCGCCGTTATTTAACCCGCGAGGTAGTCCGCGTTTTACGTTAAATAAAGTATCCCGCCTTATAATTATTTATTAAGGAGGAGTAGAGCGTACGCGATGCTGGAGACCCGGATATGTTTACTCGAAAGTATACTTTACCGAAGACTATAGTACGTACGATAATCTAGAATAAATAAAACTAATATCGTTATATTAATCGAAAGGTAAGGAATCTAATGTAGTTATCGTATCTTAGCTATATCCCTTAGTCGTAAAGATGTAGTAGTCGCTAACCCGAAGGTATAAGAGGTAAGGGAAGAAAAGGGGTAAAACGTAAAAGTTACTTATTCGGTTATAGCGGTACGACGAAGTAACTTAAGCGCCTATAATTAAAATAAATATATTAATCGGAGAACGACGAATTTAATAATAAAAACGAATCTTTAATTAAGGTAAAAATAATAAAGATAGTAATCTAGCTAGGTCGTAAATTAAATGATAAGCATAGTATATCCCGTACTTACGGGAGCTATAGTTACTTTATATAGGTATAAGGCCTATCGTAACGTATTACGTAATATATTAAGAGGATATGTCTTACCGTATTACTATAGCCTCCTTAGTTTAATTATACCGTAAGGGATAATTAAATTAAAAAGAGTAGTACGGTATATTTCGATTAATATTTCCTTTTAAAAATTACCGCGAAACTTTATTCTACCGGCTATTATTTAATTATTACGGCCGCGCCTTTAACTTCTCGTTTAATATTATAAGGGGGCCCTTTTATTACTTTACGGCTAACTTAGCCCGGTTTACCTTTGCCGATCTAACCCGATCGGCGTTATCCTTCTTTATTTCGGCTACCTTTTTCTTAGTTTCGTCCTAGCCCTCTTAATTAAGGGGATAGTAAAGGAGCGGACGCGTTTTAAGGATTAACTAGGTATCTTTCCTTTACTTATACGGTATAGAGGTTTCCTCCGATTAAAAAGCCTTAATCCTTTTTAGTCCGGGGGAAAGGAGGAGGCGCGTTATAACCTTAACGAGGTTATTATAACGGAGGTTTACGTCCGTTAATACGAAGGAGTAAGGGGAATTAGGTATTAAGGCTATAAAGGA